GTGATTGGATAATTTTCTTTATGCATACGTTTATGCGGCTATGCAAGTTTGTGTGGATATATCTTTAAGCCTATCGCACATGAAATGCATAATAGAGCACAAACGTAACATAAGACCGTTCGACCAATGAACATCTTATGTAAATCAATATGGCGACTTAATGCTGGATGCTCATTGGTCCAGCGGTCTTATGTTATGTTTATGCTCTATTATGCATTTCATGTGCGATAGGCTTTAATCTGGTAGCAGAAGTTCTGCGAAAGAGTTAAGCGGGGAGCACAGACTCTTGCATAACGCATAACACATGAGGCATAAGAAATTGAACCAACCAGAGTTCTCTATTACATGGAAGGGAAAGAAACGGAGAACTTCGATTGGTACATATTCTTATGCATTACGTGTTATGCGTTATGCAAGAGTCTGTGCTCCCCGCTTTAGGATCCGCGCACAAAGATGGTCGGAACTGTTTCCGATTGAATCGTAATCGTAAAGGTATATCCACACAAACTTGCATAGCCGCATAAACGTATGCATAAAGAATATTATCCAATCACATTTTATGTACGACTTTAAAACAATTACGATTCAATCGGAAACAGTTCCGACCATCTTTGTGCGCCGATCCTAAAACGTACACGAGCTTGTGCTTGTGTGTGTGCTACCGGTTGCACCAGACCGCCGACCGTTGACGCTAGTCGCGATGTCGTAAACCGTAAGGCTGGATTATCATTTGACGCTAGACGCTCATTTTCAGCGTCAAAACAGGTCACGTAATCAAACTTGACGAATACCAAGCGTCAATTTTGATCACGTGACCTGTTTTGACGCTGAAAATGAGCGTCTAGCGTCAGATGAAAATCCAGCTTTAAGCCTTGTGTCCACGATGCTAAAAATCGGTCCGAGACCTCGGATGAAGAAAGAATTGACCAATCGCAATAGTCATGTGGTTAAATGTGATTTGTTAATTTTTTCTCTGTCTGAGATCTCGGACCGATTTCGAGGGGTGGCACCCAGTTGGACACGGCTCAATTGGACACGAGCCACTCACAGCGCTTGAGACTACAAAGCTCTTAAGCACCGGTCGCTGTGATTGGTGGTATCCAATCGAGACGTGGTCAATCGAGATCACCCCGATTTCGAGTATCGTGGACATTAGGCTTAACAGGGTACTTATCATGAAATATGTCGGAATTGATTCCGATCGGAATTATCCCATTTTTCCTAGAAAACACAATAGAAATCTAGGGAATAATTGAATAATTTCGATCGGAATCGATTCCGACTTGTTCTATGATAGGTACCCAGGGTACCTATTATGGAAACAATCGGAATGGATTCCGATCGGAATTATTTCGTTTTCCCCAGAAAACACAATAGAAATCTAGGGAATAATTGAATAATTCCGATCGGAATCCATTCCGATTATTTCCATAATAGATACCCAGAATTGGCATCTCTAGTCGTAAGTCGAGCGAGATTTCAAAAGAGCTCCGCCAGATGATGCACATGTGTTGTTGTTGTTGTTGATTGAATGCTTAAGGCTTTGGCACATAGAAAAACTTAAGACGTAAGACTTAAGCAGTAAGTCCGGATCTACAATAGGGTTTTAAGCCTTAAGCTATAAGAAATGGGTGAATCATAGTCGCTTATTCTTCTCGTATTCGACTGTAATTGGTCAATTTCTTACGGCTTAAGGCTTAAAACACCCATTGTAGATCCGGAGTAACGAAATCAACATGTTGGATTCGCTATTGCTTACATATGGTCTTACGGTCTTTATTGTGATTGGTCGATTCGTTTACTGCTTAAGTCTTACGCCTTAAGTTTTTTTAGTCCGCAAACATAATAGAGTAATAAGCCTTAAGCCTTAAGAAATTGATCAATCACAGTTGAATGTGAGAAGAATAATCGACTATGATTGGTTAATTCCTTAAGACTTACAGTTGACAGCACGAACTTACTGACTATCCTATAGCTGTATAGGCAGCGAAATAAGCAGTGATAATAGGGATGGGCGATTTTATAATAATAAGCATCGATTCTATAATAATATCGATTATGATCCAACCCGATTTTTAATTAACCGATTCATCGTAGAAGAAAATATTGATATTGTAAAATCGATGATTTAAAAAAAAACTGATTACTAAATTTTATTTTTTTTATTACCACTTTTAAAAATATATTAAATTATAATTTTTAAAATTATTTTTATCAAAAAATAAAAAAAGAAATAGAGTACAATTTTATGTACCTCCACAGAAAAAAAAAATTTACTTGTTTCAAGTAAACACATTTTCTTGAACTGTAATTTATTGATTGAAAGAATTATTTACTTGCCATAATAAATTTGTTTTTTGTTCCAATAAAATATTATCTTGAAGCAAATAATTTATCAATGAAGAAAATATTTTATTCTAATAAAAACACTTGTCAGTAGAAAATTGTTTTATTAAATCTAATAAATGTCATTACTTGAATCTGATTGTTAATAAGAGAACATTTTTCTTAAATTTATGATATGAGTATTAGAAATCGTACATTGATTACTTTTTATAAAATATAATTTTTATTTCAGAAAGCAATTTCTTGGTTACTAAAAATATTTACTAGTAACGAGAAAATTGTTTCATAAGTTAATTAAACGCCTGCTAGGGACTGCCTCTCTAATCTCTAATAAATCTAGGACTTTAGAGTAGATCCATAACTACATTTACACGTCACCCTAAATCGAGTTTAATAACATCCGTAGTTATGAAACTGGCCAATCACAATCATTCCATTCTCCCGACGAAAAGCTATGATTGGCCAATTTCATTACTACGGATATTATTAAACCCGATTAAGCGTGCCGTGTAGCAGAGGTCAATAATAGCGTATTCGATTACTGAGGGTGCCGTCACATGCGGCGTAACCTGCGTAAGCGTAAGCCCGGATCCTCATATGGGCAACAGCGCTTTGACACAGAGCGCTAATTGGTGAAAAGCCGGTTGTGGGGGTAAAATTTACCCCCATCACCCGTTTTTCACCAATCAGCGTTCGGTGTCAAAGCGCTGTTGCCCGTATTAGGCATCGTCTACAATACACGGAGTAAGAAGTAAGAGTAAGAAATTGACCAATCACAGTCGATTATTCTTCTCACATTCGACTGTGATTGGTCAATTTCTTACTCTTACGTCTTACTCCGTGTATTGTAGACGGGCCTTGAGGATCCGGACTAACCTGCGTATTCTAGTAATTTACTAGAATACGTTATTTTTTATTTACTAGAATACGCCATTCTGAAAGCCCGCATTCACATTGAGCGTATTTCGCGGAAGATTAGAGAAATGCGGAACTAAGCTTGGATCCTCATACGAGCAACAGTGCTTTGACACAGAGCTTTGATTGGTGAAATGCCGGTTGTGGGGATAAAATTTACTCCCACCACCCGTTTTTCACCAATCAGCGTTCGGTGTCAAAGCGCTGTTGCCCGTATGAAGATCCGGGCTAATGCAACCAATTGCTGATTAAAATTTCTGTTGTACACTCTAACAGAAATGCTAAATGAATTTACGATTGGTTTTCGTAACCTACGCATCTCGAAAAGTACGTCTCATGGGGAACCGGTACCTTTCCATCGCGTATATATGAGCGGATGATCGAATAAATTATTAAAATCGGAAAATTTTGTGAAACCACTCTTAGGCTTATTCGACGCGTTTTTGCATGAAACGAAAGAATTTGGCAAAAAAAAACGCCTTGTGATCTGAGATATTAAGCATTAAAGTTGAAGACTATTGAGGTTAGGAAATCTGTCACAGAAGCAAAATGAGGTCTATAATTGTACTGTTCCACATGGATTTCGACTTTTCACGCGATGCAAAGGGGCGCACGACTTTTATAATTTTGCTGTTGCAAAATCGAAACCCTTGTGCATTTTTTCAGACAGAATAAGCTAAAATGAGCCAGAAATTAGATTCGACGCATAGTGGTTCTATCATGTTTCGGCGTAACAACAAAATAGCGTAAAAAGCATAAAGTGACTAGACAGAAACTGATGTTCAAGTGAAATGATATGATTGGTAGGCGCAAGTTACGCTTACGCAAGTTACGCCGCATGTGACGGCACCCTGACTCGACCCGACTCTGAGTCAACAGTCTGTTCTTTTCTTTGTAGCTGCATTTCTTACACAATTTTGCTCTTCTTTTGCAGCTAAACAGAACAGACTATTGACTCGGAGTCGGGTCGAGTCAGTAAATCG